GGAAGGAGGGAAGGAAGGAGGGAGGGAGAGAAAGAAAGGAAGTAAGAAGGAAGAGGGAGGGAGGGAAGGAGGGAGGGAGGAAAGAAAGAAAGAAAGAAAAAGAAAGAAAGAAAGAAAGAAAGAAAGAAAGAAAGAAAGAAAGAAAGAAAGAAAGAAAGAAAGAAAGAAAGAAAGAAAGAAAGAAAAGAGGAAGGAAGGAAGGAATGGAGGGCAGGTGAGGAAGGCACTTTTATGCCAGATACAGATTTCCTCTAGTTTAAGGACACAGCCATATGCCAACCAAAATAAGGTGAGGACAGTCCTTAGTTTCTTTTCAAATGTCTAGGATGGACACAGCTTCACAGGTGACCTAATGTCAGCCCAGCTGGTTCACGGGCATCATGGCTGGTTACAACGGTGATTTTGATTGTGCTTTTTGATGTTCTGCACCTTGCTTTACTGTCTAGATTTACAGCACCTCCTTATCTGAGCCTCCTCCTCCAGGGTATGAAGAGGTGGAAGAGGTTGTCCCACCTTATAGTGCTTTCTCAGCCCAAGGCATGCCAGAGGTAAGGGCTGGTGGGTGGCATTATGACTGGGATGGGGGGGGCTTCCCCATGAAATTTGGAGATGAGATGCCCCCATTCCGGTCCTCCATCCACTCTAGTGGTTTCTAACATATTGCTGTTCTTCACACTCCGTCCTTTACTTTGTGTCTCTGCAAAAGATGACATGTTTCTCTGTACATCAGATACAGTACGTGCTGATTCAGGAATGTATGTCTTTTGATAAAGGTCATGTCAATCTCAGTCCCAGGTTTCTGTTCCAAGCTTGCATTGCTGGGTGGAAGCGCATACTCAATGGCCACTGGTCCCCATTGGGGTTGACAAGGTGAAAGGCACAGCAGAGGTGTTTGGAGCTGGGATGACAGGCAGAGCTGGGTGCAAAAGTGAGTGCCCATATAATAATCTTAGAATAATTACAATAATAATCTTGGAACTGCAGAACTGGAAGGGACCCTATGGAACATCACGTCCATCCCCTGTCAAGAAGGCACAGTGGGGAATCGAACTTCCAACCTCTGACGCTGCAGCCAGAGACCTAAACCACTGAGTTACAGTGGTGCCTCACTAGACGATGATAATCCATTTCACTGAAATCACTGTTTAGCAAAATCATTGTCTAGCGAAAAGCATTTCCCCTTTGGAATGCATTGAAACCTGTTCAATGCGTTCCAATGGGGAAGAATCATCATTGTCTAGCGAAGATCAGCCATAGGAAAGCCGCTTTGTGAACCACCAATCAGCTGTTTAAATCGCTGTCTTGCGAAGCTTAGGTCCCAAAAACACCTGCTTTGCGAGTGCAGAGGAAGCTGTCAAAATCGTCATCTAGCGAAAATCGGTTTGCGAAACAGGGACTAAACATTGTCCAGCGAAATTCCCCCATAGGAATCACTGTTTCGCAAATCGCTATAGCGATTGCAAAAAGTCAATGTCTAGCAAAAAAACCCGTCATGCGGGTAACTGTCTAGCAAGGCACCACTATATCATGTAGGAAAGCTGGTATTCATCAGGGGAGAGGAACATGGGGTGGGAAGGGGGCTGATAGAGATGGGGAGGCTGGCTCAACATTCTACAAGGCAATTCTGTTGAGCAATTGCTTTGTGTTTGAGTGAAGGTAAAGGTAAAGGTAAAGGTTCCCCTTGACAATTTTTGTCCAGTCGTGTCTGACTCTAGGGGGCGGCGCTCATCCCGCTCTTCAAGAAGTGGTTAATTGATGAAAAAAATAAGTCCTAGGCTGGTGGTATCACAACATTGCAGGCTCTCTGACTTTTCTCCTTCTCTGGGGTGCCTTTTTCAACCTCGCTCTTTATGCTCTAGGGAGATCTGGTGTATGTGAACTATGGCAGCATTGAAGACTTCCAGAGATTAGAGCGAGAGATGGGAATTAACTGCTCTGGGAAAATTGTCATCGCCAGATATGGGAAAATCTTCAGAGGAAACAAGGTAATTCCAAAGTCCCGTCACAGAATGCTTGGACTGCAGTCAAGACTGCAGTCAAACAAAGATCCAGAAACACTAAGTACCCTTGGAAATGCTTCAGACTGTTTAGATTATTAGCCTTAAAAGACATGTTTGGACACACGAATGTCCAAACATTCATGTTTGGACATTCATGTCTGCAGAAAAGGGAGTGTTTCATCAGCCCTAACCAGTAAAACCAACGGTAAAGCAGCTCCACTATATTCCCCAGCCCTGCCATAGTACGTATCTGCCTGAGCCTTACTATTTTAAGAAGCCGCTTTAGAAACAAGGGGCATCTGAGTTCAATTTTTTCCCCTCTTCCTAGGTTAAGAATGCTGAGATGGCCGGTGCCAAAGGGGTTATTTTATACTCTGACCCTGCTAATTCTTGTGCCCGTGGAGTCGCTCCTTACCCAGATGGTTGGAATCTTCCTGGAGATGGAGCCCAACGTGGCAATGTGCTAATCCTGGACGGGGCTGGGGATCCACTTACTCCAGGGTATCCAGCGAAAGGTAAGTGGCGTTGGAAAAGAACCATTGCACAGCCCAGACAAAGCTTACCGTTCTGCTTGTTGCACCAGTCCCACAAAAACGATGCCCCATTGACTCTTTGCTTAGAAGTGTTCTTGCTCATTACCTTGTAGTGACTGAAAGCAGCCATCGTGCTGGGAGTCGGAAGCCCTGCCTCCAGCCAGTGACCCTCTTAGGAGTAATCCCTAGCCCTCGAACCATGGGCTAGGAGCACAGCACAGGGCTGCAGTCAAACAAAGATCCAGAAACACTAAGGACCCTTGGAAATGCTTCAGACTGTTTAGATTATTAGCCTTAAAAGACATGTTTGGACACACGAATGTCCAAACATTCATGTTTGGACATTCACGTCTGCAGAAAAGGGAGTGTTTCATCAGCCCTAACCAGTAAAACCAACGGTAAAGCAGCTCCACTATATTCCCCAGCCCTGCCATAGTACGTATCTGCCTGAGCCTTACTATTTTAAGAAGCCGCTTTAGAAACAAGGGGCATCTGAGTTCAATTTTTTCCCCTCTTCCTAGGTTAAGAATGCTGAGATGGCCGGTGCCAAAGGGGTTATTTTATACTCTGACCCTGCTAATTCTTGTGCCCGTGGAGTCGCTCCTTACCCAGATGGTTGGAATCTTCCTGGAGATGGAGCCCAACGTGGCAATGTGCTAATCCTGGACGGGGCTGGGGATCCACTTACTCCAGGGTATCCAGCGAAAGGTAAGTGGCGTTGGAAAAGAACCATTGCACAGCCCAGACAAAGCTTACCGTTCTGCTTGTTGCACCAGTCCCACAAAAACGATGCCCCATTGACTCTTTGCTTAGAAGTGTTCTTGCTCATTACCTTGTAGTGACTGAAAGCAGCCATCGTGCTGGGAGTCGGAAGCCCTGCCTCCAGCCAGTGACCCTCTTAGGAGTAATCCCTAGCCCTCGAACCATGGGCTAGGAGCACAGCACAGGGCTGCAGTCAAACAAAGATCCAGAAACACTAAGGACCCTTGGAAATGCTTCAGACTGTTTAGATCATTAGCCTTAAAACCCAAACTTCATCCCATTTTCTTTCCCACCTATCAAAGTCACTGTTGATTCTTCCTGTTCTTTCAACTCTTATTCATGAGACGAGGGCTAGCAGCTACCAACTCTGTGGCTGCTTTCAGTCACTACAGGCTTACGAGCAAGAAGCTTTGTATGCAAAGAGTCAATTCTCTTGGGAGGTGGTGAGCACTCCGAGTGCTGGAGGTATTTAAGACAACAAACTGGATCGCCCTCTGTCAGACCTGCTTTTAACTTCGATCCTTGCCTTGAGCAGGGGATTGGACTCCATGGCCTTATAGGCTCTTTCCAGCTCTGTGATTCTATGGGACATGGGTCGGAGGGCAGCAACACAGAGCTGCTGACCCCCTCAAAGGGCTGGTCCTACCCTTAGTCTGGATAAGGTGGTCTCCAAAGGTATGTTGGGGGTGTGTGCAAATTCTCCACTCCCCAAGTCACCTTGCCATGTGGATCACAGCAGAATCAGGTTTTATCACAGCCTGGGGACCCTGCCCGCTCCTGGTACCTGCCCCTTCCTCTCCCCTCCCCCCTCCCCTCAAAAGAAGCAGAAGCAGCCATGGAAGAGAAGGAAG